AAAAACAAAGATTTTTTTAAAATCATTTTGTTGGAAGAGATTATTACGAATGCAGCCTTTCGGGGACAAAAAGAAAAGCTGCATTTCTTTACCATCCACTCCCACCACCAGTATTACGTCCCAGTGATGGTGGCTGTATCCCCCTTTCCAAAGATGGCCACTACTGCTTCTGCCAATGTACTGAACGAGCAGACGGTAATTGAACTGCACAACTGCTCGTCCTTGATTGTTGCAAAGCACTCTGAGGACCGGGGATACAGTCCACTCACGAGACTGAGCTGCTGGCGATAGGAATTCTGCATTAACATAAAGACCGATGAACATGCTGGATCAGTTTGCAGCAATTACACCGATTCAGAGTATGCAAGAGAAAGAGAAGTTTCTGGAGTGAAAATCCAAGCATTTATCTGGTAAGGATGCAAGTACAGGTAAGCACAAGATGAAGACTATTGTGGACCATGACAACAGAGGCTGGAAGATTTTTGTTTGCACCTTATAAATTAAACCAGAGTTTGATCTATTCAAATAGGAGAATAGACTGTCTAAAGCTTTTGAGGCAATACCGTATGGTTTATTACTACAAATCATCTAAATGATGAAATATCTAGTTCACTGGATGGTTAATTATGATCCTACAGCATGTGTCTGATTATGATGTCTGTCCTTAGCATTTTCAAGTTAATATGAGGCTTCTTCAAATTATATTAAATAAGCTTGTTATTGCCATTCTATTAGGAACAACCAGTTCTGACAAAGTGACCATGCACAGGAGAGAATAAGGAAATGTAGACAGACTCCTCTGTCCCACTGACCTTTGGGTCACTCCTTTTATAATCACTTAAGCACAATCATACAGACTATGAAGAGGGCTGTGGGCAACACTGTAATCTATTTGCCCAATAACTCACATCGATGCCAGTTCAATGATGGATTTCCACTCAAAAAACCCAAAACCCATATTTATTTTTATTCTTCCTGAAATAAAAACATAATTTCTGTTTGCACCACCCTCCTTTCAGTTTTCATTAGAATCTCATAGCTGCCCTGGTGTACTTTTGTGCCCAGAAGACCTGGTGCAGAGACAACCATTCTGATAAAACAGATTTGGAAAATTTGTGAATACAGGAGGATGTTAAGCCGAAAAAAAAATCCAGAAGAAATCCTCGAAGGAAAAAGCAACCGTTGATTGTTTCTCTTTGGTGTGATTTTGGACTGTTCTGGGAAAAAGGGAGGGGTTCAGGGAGAGAGAGAAAGAGAGAGTCTTTTCAGAAACCGGTGCTGGTTACTCCACCTCTGGCATGAGTTGGAAGACAGCAGTGGAGTAGAGTGTTCCGATGGAGAGGGCGATGAAATAAATCAGCACCCTGCGCATGAAACGGGTCTTCATACAGGGCACCACAAACACGCCGGTCAGGGAGAAGGCACTCACCACAGTCACACTGACAAAGCCAAACCCCCACACTGTCAAACAAAGAACACAGCAAGGCCTCAGTTACCACTATTGGCTATCAGGGGGATAGGAGGACCATTACCTTAGTCTGGATACAAATAATTTGCTGGAAAATAAAACATTTAGGCCTCAGTTCCTTGCAGAATTGACACAGAAACTTGCAGTTTAGTGGTCACAAGCAATAAAGTTCAACATGAAATATGGAGTGTTTGTAGCTTTACAAAACAGGCCAGAAATGAGAAGAATCGAATTTTTATGTTGACAGTAGTATAATGTTTACATCAGATTTTACTGGGAATCTAGGCTAGGGTATACAAACAGCAAGTACCCGGAAAAGAAATTTTTCAATTTTTTGATCTTTTGAATGTTAACCAATTTATGTCCAAATTGCCACCTAGTCATCTTGGAAAGCAGTAATTAGAGACCAACATGGCATCCAATTGGAAAACCATCCCATTAGGGCTTGACTGCAAGAAGATAGAGGGGACAGTGCCCAGTAGACTTCTTTGTGGCAGGTGTACCCTTCTACGCACTACTGGTATGGCTTCTTAACCTGTAAAACAAACCACTGTAGCGATCAGGTTTCTTTCCCAAAGAACAATGAAGGTGCATGGCGTGATGAATTATTCACACGGTGCATTTATTTGTGAAAAGACAGTTCAACAATTCTTCGGTGTGGATGACACCAGAACTCGGCTGTGCAGGGGAAGAATTCTTGTATGTTAGCGAGTGCTACAGAGGCATGTTTCCCTGAGGTTTCTGTTCCTGAATAACGCATGGCCCTTCACTATCTTTCAGTGCCTTGCTGGGTTACTACACCCTTGAAAGTGCTCCGTTTTACACGTGACAAAAATTAATTTGTCACACTTTGAACACTTTGCTCAGTAAAATGCTGAAGAGGCACATGGATATTCCCTTTGTACCAAAATCCAAAATAACTGAACTGAAACACTTAAGCTATTGGTTATTGCAAATGCAGCCAGTTTGTTGTTTAAAACAAGTCTCATTAACTCACAAATCGAGCCGCTTTTTGCCTGTGAATTAAAAATAATAGTTACGCAAGCAAGAATCATACATGTATATTCTAGACAAGACATCTACTCAAAAAGTGTTCTAAAACATAATTCAAGACCTCTAAAACAAATAATAAAAAGGGGTTAATGTGAAAATCCAAAGAACAGAATCTGGCAATTCTGAACTGTTTCAAGGCGCATGTATCCCCAAAATCACTTTAATTGATGATGGCTTAATGTTTGGACAGCCTTACAGAGTCATACCACATTGTTACATATGCATATGTTCTGTAGCCTTTGATGAGATGGTGTAGAACCTAAACAAAGTACTGCAAATAAAACACGTTATAGAGAAATGACAAAATACACACCAACCTCAATAATTTCTCCTAAAGGACTAATAAAATCCTGCTTTCAAAACTCATTAAGAGCTAAACCCATATAATCTCCCTGTTCAACAGTCCAGACCCAATGCATAGGGCAACACTGTGGTATTAAGATAGTTTGAAATACTTTGCTTTCTTAAAAATTGGAAAGGTTATGGTATGCTAATCCAAGCTCTGAACTTGACTAAAGGTAATGGATAGAATCATGCCTTTCGACGAGAACAAAATACCACAAAATAAGCAAAGCATTTGATTGGGATCTCAAGCATTTTTAGATGTCTCATAAAATAAATTGGTTAAGACTTCCTGATCAGATACTCCAACATATACCCATTTATTTGCTACAGGCTACTCAACGTTCTATGCTTTACTTCTGGCAAGTCTTTACTTAGGTGAACCTCTCTTTACACCTGACCAATCAAGCAGCAAAGCAGAATGTAAGATGTGAACACATCACTTAAAAGTCAACAACAATGTTATGTTCTGTAAATGAAATCCAGTAAAGAGAACTTCCCATCATTCAGGGTTTAATCTAGGAATGAGTTTGAATTTAGTCAAACTGACACAATCACAGAATCAAATCCTCGACTATCATGGCTATCACATGATGTCTTTTAGAAGACTAATTTGGCAGGAACACTTGTTTTGTTCTAAAATGCTGGTAGTATTTTTTTTAGAAGTGCTATAAATACAGAGTGGCCCTAAATGCTTTCAGAATACTTGCTTTTTCATTTCCTTGTATATTCCTGCCAACACAAACGGCAAATAATTTTGTTTTCCTCTCCTGCAAGGCATAGTAAAAATAGCTCAGTTGAATAAATATTACTAAAAACTATTTAAAAAAAAAACATTTCAGGTAACTGTGAATTATTAACTGGAATTTCATCATATTCAACTTGAACCCATTGAGTCTTCAATAAAATTTCATTACAGTGACTTTGAGCAGAAAGTGAGATTAGAGACGTAATAATCAGCAGTTCCCCAAATTCAGCCAAGAACACTTCACCGCCACACTGTGTGAACCACTGTGACTAAATTCCTTGAACTAAAAAGGAACAATCTTCAACAAGTATTTTTTAATAAAGTGGTTCCCTTATTCAGGTTTCATATCTTAGTAATGCACTCGTGCATGCACTTATAAGTATGGTAAAAAAAATTAAAGTGAATATTTTGATAACCACTGCGTTGCGATAATGCCCTGCAGTGCTCTGACCCTGGGTTCAATTTCTGGGTTGCTATCTGCATAGAATTTGTATGTTTTCCCCATGTTCTTGTGGGTCTCCTCCGTGTGGCCCTAGTGTGAGTGTGTGTGCGTTCGTTTATGTGTGTGCCACCCAGGGTGTATCCTGCCTTGTGCCTGTTGCTTGCTGGTATAGGCTCCAGCTCCCCCATGACCCTGTACTAGATAAAGTGGATTGAAAATGGATGGATTCTGATAATGCATATAGAAAATCATTTCATGTTTTTATTGAATAATACATCTAACCATTAGAGACTAAATCATGTTTATTTTGAAAATCAATCTACAAATATAACTTAGAGCAAAACAAATTTTTAAAGCAAAAACAGATTTAAGCTACCATCTTCCCGCAACTGAAATCTTACTGTTTCTGCAATAGTTATTCTTTAAGAGTGTTATTCTTGGTGATTGACAAAAAAAAGGCAAATTTGAATATTTTTGAATATCAAATACACTGTAGACAAAACCTTCAATACTTTGCTCCAGACCAATAAATACCCAATGACTGATGAAATAACAATCATCTAACTGACAAAAAGCCAACAGTATGAAAAAAGTTTTACGGAAAATAACAGGAATAACAGGAAATGACTGCAAGAAACATAGCTAAAGACTGGTCAATCACCTGTCATAATTGCTTACAGCAGGAAAACATGAACTATACTTCTCATTTGAGATTTTAACTTGTCAAAAGTTTTCTTTCAAAACATGTGTGAAGCCAAAAGTGAAATAAGTACAACACTAATAATATGTGATTGTTAACATTACAATTATCTGGTATATCCACCTGACAATTTTTCTGTATAGTATGAGGTTTTGTTTTGCTTAAAATATTAGGTAATTCTCACTGGTTGATTGATTTTCAAGATAAAACCACTTCAAATGCATGCCTGACTGGCAAAGCAAAAACAGAAATATCAACAGTAATTTCAAAACTGGAGAGAAGTTCCAGAAGGAACAAAACTGTCCAGGTGACACTCGGAACAGAGCTATACAGGTATAATTTAATAACGATTAATTTTAAAATAATGCACCCATTTTAAAGAAGACCTTAATTTCATTCCCACCAAAGAATGATAATTAAAAACCTGCAAGGTGACATAAAATCACTGTGCCTCAAAATGAACACCAGCTCTGCTTCTCCATCCTTCCCTTTCCCTCCACTAGATTCCCATGAGTCTCAGTTCCTTTTCAGAAATGGAATTCCATTTTAATGAAGAAATAATGCAGCTTTTGACTCTTTACATGAATTGTTTAAATTCTGCACTGGTGGAGTGAAAGGAATTTACTTTTCTGTGAAAAAAAAATCTAGGCCACATCAACCTTTTTTATTTATTTCTTCATATTCTGCAGAACTTGTTTGGGCTGATGGTGGGGATTTGTGTGGCTAGCAAGACATGGGAACACTGCAGTCAAAGAGGTCACACTGACGCCTACCCTCTGCGGACGAAGGCCCCTCCTGGGCAGGCTCTTTGGCCTGTTCCTCCTGGCCCATCACCCCACATGCCCCCGTCTCCAGCTGCTGCAAAATGGTGGGGCAGAAGACTTGTAGCTCATGCGTGTCCAGTCGAGACTCCTCCGTCAAGCTGTGGGCTGCCAGGAGAGAGTCTGACGAGAGACACTGCAGAGAGAGAGGGGACACACTGCATCGTGACCCTTTCTGAACCGAGAAGAAGCTATTAATACTTGCCAGTTTAAAATGTTTTCAATGTGCAACAGAAAGAAGTCAACGATTCTGCACTGACAAATTAGGCCATCCTATTTGTGCGTTAACCATGCATTTTAAAAAGAGAACTATTCAGTGAAATACTGGTGAAGAACCAAGATACACAAGTAAAACTCTTATATATGCAGTATATGCCTGTGCCCAGGTACACTGCCACAGACATTCTTCTTATAGGCCACAAAGGCAGGCTGGCACACAAATGTTAGAACATGAAGCTACAACAAACCACATGGAGACCTTTGCAAAAAGAAAAAGCCAACCTTTGAGCTTGTAGAATCTTAATATAAACAATAGACCTTCTCTGTTACTAAATTTTTTATTGGGTTCATAGGACTAAGCAAAGGATTATCGTTAAAAAAATCTCAAATTACTTAAGCAGGATCAAATAAGGTAATCCATACAAATCATAAAAAGCACAAAGCCTGGAAAAAATGTAAAATATGCCTGATCAGCATTTAATTACAGCAGTCCTTACTTAAAACACTGCCTCTTCTGCTCTGCTTCAAAGAGTACAGAAAAACCTCTGCATAGATTTGGCAGGTATACATTTTTAAAGAATAAACTAGCTTGCAGACCCATGTACTGCACTTAAATAACTACCAGATTGAGGCATTCAATAACTTCATGTAAACAATTCTCTCTAATAAACGCAGCAAGATTTATACAATGGTCTTAAAAATCCATTGAAGGACCTGTAGAATCATCTGGATTTCATGCATGTTTAAGTCTTTCATTAATTTTAACTAAGCCAAGGATTGATTTAGCTGGAAATGTTTAATATTCTAGTTTTTAGAGATTGAAATGCTGCACTTAAATTTGCAGTATATTAGAGAGAAAAACATCTTTCAGGCCTGTTTTAACACCAAGTTGTAGAAAGTTGAATGCATTCCATTAACGATCAATTTACTGTCAAAATACAGTTCTATAGACTTCTAATAAGCATATAGGACCTCAAGTAAGAGTGAACAGATCATTCATACAGTGCAATCTAAATCATGTTCACTACATTATTCCAGCCAATTAGACTAAATAAAGAGAAGCAAGGAAGAGATGGAAGTCTTGCATGAGGGGCATACCCTGGAGATGTTGGCTTTGGGTCCCGTGCGCTCTGTAGCATTGTTTCCCAGCCCCACTTTGAGTTGGCTGAGCAGGACTCTGAGCTGAGGCACGGAGAGCGTGACGTTGTCCCCATACCGAGACAGCAGATCCTGGAGGAAATCAGAAGGAGAGGGGACCACAGTGGCCCCTACGCCCCCTGTCGCCAGCAGCACACAGAGCAGCAGGGTCCAGTTCAGGGTCAGCTGGGTACTGCCATGGCCAGGCCGATGGGTCATGACTCCACCTGAGCGGGCCTGAAGTGTGCACAGACTGGAAAGAGAGGAGGAAGAATAGCAGGGTTAGTAGTCTTGCTTACAGGAGTCAAAGCTTAATTCAGGATTCTAATATCTTAAATGACTGGTCTAGTTACTGTACTTGTTCTCTGAATTATTCACTCCAGAAGTGTGAAGTGCGACACACAGTGAGAACCAAAACACTTTTTTTTTATGGTGTTTTAAATGATGTACTGTTAAAAAAGATGAGCAAATAATTAAATTAATTAAGATATTCTGAAAATCAGAAGACCAATGCCATTCTAAATGCTGGGATTGAGCAAAATGGTCCAATACATAGAATCCTTATTCCTAAAACATCTACCATGACCCACAACTTACTCTTTGCTTTCTATAATAACCCAACAGTGTTGTAAAGTATGATATAAACGTTTCAAGATACTAACTTGTACTTTAAGCATAAATGGTGTAGAACACATCTAAAAGAAAAAACAATTAACAGCAGTAGTTAGTTAAGGCTCAGGTCCTCAAAGAGAAAATCCAATGAGAATTATAGGTAACTTGAAGCTGTTGACACATTCAGCATCTGGAAAAGGAGCGGGCTGTCTCTAACTTACTGCCAGACTGGACTTTACCCCTCCAAACTGTTGATGCTCCCTGCTCAAGCCTGCTGGGTCTCTTGGGGGCTGACAGACTAGTGTTACTGGAAAGCAAACCTGAAAAGAAATATGCATACAGTTAAGTGATCTGAGGGGTCATCTCATTGATGGGAAGAACACAACAGAATTATCGCAGAATGAAGAATTTAATAAAAACTACCATCAATGTTAACAAAAGGCATTATATGTGCAACAAAGGAGTACAAGAACCTTTTAGCATTTAAGGTATTTTTAATGCCTTCTAGTATATTTTATGCAGTACCTCAACCTTAGCTTCACAAAAGGAAGTCATTAAGAAGATGCCTTACCCAGAGCAACTTACAGACTGTACGCATTGAGAATTGCTTGCTTTTCATACTGAAGGGTACAAGAGCACTTCACATACAGACAAATAGGAGGGGACCCATTTTATCCATCACTGAAGTGAAGCTCCTGCCTGGATGATGAATGGCAGTTATGCTATTCCAGCAGCACATTATTAGGATAAAACCAATTCACCAATTAAATTAGAAATATAAGTCGAACACCAAGGTTAAAAGTCCTGCTCTTAAATGAACAGTGTCATGGGACTTTTACTGCCTTTTACAGTGTCCATCTCAGACAGCGTCCCTTCACAAAGTGTAGGGCACTCGTTTGGGAAATCATGTCCAGTGAGTGAGATAAAAAGAAGTTTTAAAAAAGCCTTATTTGCCAGAAAAAGCTCCTTTTCCTGGCAAATGCAATCCTTAAACAAAGTAAATAATCTGGCTAATAGTCAAAAACCTTAAATGTTGATTCTTAGAGCTGATTTCCTAAAACGTTCAGAAAGATTGCTGGTTAGAGTACTGATCTACATTGCTCATAATGACGCAATATGGTCACAAAATAGCAACAGATGAGATGCACACCACAAATGTCATCATTACTCTGAAAAATATTTACAGTTTTCAGAAATAGGGTATTTTCTGAACTAGTGTGAAAGCATCCTAATTATGTAACAACTTTCGTCTTGTCTGCTTCAAGTTCAGCCTATACCCACAAGTCTGGACAAACCCTTTCACAGTGAACAAAGAGAGGAGTAAAATCACTTTGGGCTTTGTTCTGTTTAAGGCTGGGCTGATGCTGTGAGTTGAACTGTATATTAACATCAATGATTCATGAACATAATCAGCCAGCCCTAAAACAACATGGAAAAGACAACACAAAATCAAGGGCAATGGCTTTAATTGTACAGTACAGCGATAGACATGTTCTCACAAATAATCAGGGACTGCTGATACTTACAACAATGATCTACTGTATCTCCAGGAATTAAAAAATTATATCACACAGGCATACTACACATGTGCAGCAGCCCTACTTGTAATGGATGAAATATGTGCCCTCCTAAAAGTAAAGCTTTTCAAAACACTTAAAGACAAAAACAAAAAATGTAAAGCAAGAAATTACACATTATACACATGGTCCCTATTTGATTTTGAAAGCAACAGATTAGGAATAGGAGTTTCGAAAACGTTCAGGACAATATGCACAGCTTGTATACAGTCTTTATAATGGGAACTTACAAATTCTGCTAGCTCGGTACAACCATCCTGCAACTCCTCTCCTACCTGTAAGAGTCATTCCCAATTCACAATTTCGGCACCTGCTGTCAAAGATATGACATGGCTAGGCAATATGTGTATGGTAATATCCTTGCAGTCTGCCACAATGCATTTCTCTTTTAGCTTGCTAACAGTAAGAGCCCCAGACAGAGGCACATTACGATTAATTTATAAACCGTGTTCAATAATTCCATGATAATGAAAGAAATCTTAAGTGGCTCTTTATCTGCGTTTTCCCAATACTACTTGCTAAAAGTAAGTAATCCAGTTCGTTTTAAGTCACCCGTTTCTGGAAATTTGAAATGCTTGCAAGTTGTTGATTGTATTGTAAGTCATGTATTAATTTAAGGTAAATCTTGTCCATTGGGACTAATGTTTTTGTTCCAGGTGATCTGCAAATTTTGTAATGCAACACAATTCATCACAATTAAAGTGCTGCAAGCATTTAGAACCTACAAAGAGAATTGGACATCAAACCAAGTTATCAATGTGTTGAACAAGACCAGCATCACATGTTAGAATGTAGGACTGCCTTATTAGACTCCTACTTAAAGATGTGATCATTCCATCTACAAGAATTATACCATCAGCCGAGGGAATGGAGCTGGCAATAATAAGGCCAAACACCCACCACTGCCGAGACAGACCTGTGCATAAGTGGTCAGATTAAAATGCACGGAAAGGCATACACGAACACGAATAGAAAGCATTCTTCTTGGAACATGCAGGCTTTATTTAACCAGTCTACAAACAAAATAAAGGTTGCCAGTAACAAAGGACAAGGTCATTATGTCTATATCTAGTCCACTGCCATGCTTATCAAGCTATAACAGGGTTTTGATTAGACACTGTTGAGTCTATGCCGTGAAAAGCCAAAATCTATCTCTATCAAAGAACATCCACTCAGAAAGGAGGCGTTATATTATTTTTATGTTAGAAAGCACATTTTGCTATATTAAAACCTGGTTCTATTTTTGAGTAACAAGTTACATTATTGGTTTACTTCTCAATGTAAGATAAGAGTTGTACATTTCAGAGTACTGAAACAGGCACATTAACTTTATTTCCCTTTGGGCTTGAAGGCAGAGTTCATTCTGCCCCACTTGATTACACTGCAAAAGAGGCAGACTTTGTGAGCTCTGTCAGAGAACCGGGGAAGACTTAACAGAGGAATGTAAGAAGGCCAGGTAGTGCTTTTTAAATACTTTTTATTGCATACACAATTTAGAAGGGACAATAACGGCTCAGTTCTCTTACAATTCCTTTACTGTGCATGCTGTTCTGAGACACTACAAGCTCCACAGTGTCCCACACATCCCACAATTAAGTCACTGTAAGCCTGCAAGCCCTCAGCAAGTCGAAGGTGTTACACCAAAAGGCAAAAGGACTCTGGTGAACTTATCCCAGCTTTATCCATGCAGCCCTCTGCCACGTGTGTCCCACTGTTCAGGGACTCTCAGTCATAGCTGTTTAATGACATGACCCAGCAACTAACAATATCTGAACTACAGAGTGTATATGGAATTCTTCAAGTGGAAAATCTCAATTTAATCTTGCCATACCTCCAATCAAATAGACGTCATTAAAGGGCACTGATCTGGATTTTTTTTTATCATGATGGAACTTACCCTCCATTACCACTCAAAACATTTGCAGCTAGATCCAAGAGAGAGGAACGCATTAAAATAATTACCAGGATCCTGCTTAGGATCTTACAGCTAGAAGCCATATCACCCTGTAACTCACAACTGGCTACCCAATGAACCCAGCACCTGGATGGGAGACCTCCTGGGAAAGCTAAGGTTGCTCCTCCTGGAAGAGGTGTTAGTGGGGCCAGCAGGGGGTGCTCACCCTGCAGTCTGTGTGGGTCCTAATGCCCATGTATTGTGACAGGGACACTATAATGTAAAAGGGGTGCCATCTTTCAGATGAGAGCTAAAACTGAGATCCTGATTCTCTGTGGTCATTACAAATCCCAGGGCATTTCTCAAAAAGAGTAGGGATGTAACCCTGGTGTCCTGGCCTTTACCAATCACGGCCTCCTAGTAATCACCATCTATGAATTGGTGGTGGTGGAGGGGAGTCCACTTTACCTGTAAAGCACTTTGAGTGGAGTGCCCAGAAAAGCACTATATAAATGTAATGGATTATTATTAGAATCTAAGACCTCATGACAGTACACTTCAGCATATAATCCTTGCACACTTTTATGAAAAATTAAATATAAAATGGCAGAGGTAATTAGGCAAGCGAAGAGAAAGTTTTTTTTAGAAAAGTAGCAATTCTGAAGGCCTACGAATCTATTTTAAGCAGTAACCACAAAACATACTGAGAAAAGGGATAATTGCAGGTGATGCAGATGACCTGTCGAGTTCTATCCACCTACATGAGAAAATATCACGCCTACAGTACAAACAACAAAAAAACACTTTACCTCTTTGCCTAATACTTCTGCCTCTACTGATAGCACAAGCTGCTAAAGTGAGACATTATCCCATTTGCTGGAAAATTAGCTCACTGAGGTTATCATATTTGATTACTCAGCAGTTGAGATAAGCATGACAATGTAGATAAAACTATGCACCTTTGATTAAAGTTTGAGACCGACACGTCCCAAGTAAAAAATACTACTTGACTACTGAATTTCTCATTAGTGACTGATACCCATTTTATGATTCCAAATGCTCTTTGAAAAAAAATCTACAAGTGCCGGGAGAACATACATGATTTGAAATGGACTCTGGCCCCAGAGGCGATTCTGCCTTTAAAATGTAAGCTCATGTTTCAAGCAGTAAGCTAAATCACAAATGTAAGAATTCTAACAGTCACGTTCTCCTTCCTGACAAAGCAACCATTCTGACAATCAGACTCAATGTAAAAAGTCAGGAGCCAACCACCGAATTAAAGAGTGCTACACTTAAATTACGCAAACTATCAATTTTGGTTTCTGAAACGGTGATGAAATCACTTAATTATGAATTCTTAGGCAATTACATACTCTCGTATGACACAGCAAAGTATCCTGGTGCTACAAAACAAAAGCAGCACAACTTTTTACATTTGTGAGTTTGAAATAGAAATCTCAGGCAATGTCTTATACAGTATGTTCCTGTTCATATCTACCTTGCAGGCATTTACTGCTAGGTTAATGCAGTACTGTACATTAGCTGTGGGTATTAGTTCATATAAAATGTTTGATAGCACGGTAAAACTTAAACAGCAAAATAAGAACTGCTATTATTATGGTGTTTGGTACTTGCACTTAGCTTGTTATAGCAACATGTACATCTTTTAACTTTTTCTAAAGCTTTTTAGCTGAGCACTAAACATGAATGAAGGCAACATGGGTCAGTCCACTTATTTAGAATTGTGGAAGCACCCACTATGCTGATCTTCAAGTCCTTTACTTGCACATCTACAGACACCCTACTGTAAATGAGAAGAAGCCTTTCAACCCTTGTAGCTCCTTAATGCATGGGGTTTTGAATGCACTACCCCCTTAGCTTCATTTGTAAACTGTGAGGCTCTCTAGTTCAAGATATACTCTTGAATTCCAATTCCATAGGGTTGATTTTGTCAGTACTTTTGAGGATTTTGAATAAGTGAAACAAAATGACCTGTACATTCAGTCTTCAGTGTACAGGACTAAACCAGATCGTTTACTCTATCACTAGGACATTCTTTTAAACTTGGTAATACATTTGGTTGGTTTTCTCTGGACTGATTCCACAGCATGCAATATATCTTCTCTAACACTGTGAACAGGCTTGTGCATTATATATTGTTAGCACAACATAAGCCGACTTGAACTCTACACTTAACTACATATCCTAATTTTATCATTACTTTTTTAACTCTTTCCCCACTCACCTAAAATGATGCTCTTACTTAAGGATCATCTGCAAACTTTAGTTACTTGCCTGGTAAATACCCGTGTTAAATGAATTTCACTCATCACCCTCTTCCCCTTTTCTGGTACTGAAGACACACACAGGTATTGATTTTTCATTCCAGCCCAGCTCCATTTCCTAACCAGGGCTCTAAATTTACCAAGTTGCTTGATTTAGAGATTGGAAAGTTGTTTTTTTTTCCTATTCAAAACATTTGGATTTTATTTTACTTCCGATGTGCAAATAAAACATGACTGGAACAAAAACCAGTGGGTCTGTGCACAACCTTTTACATCTGTGAGTTTTACATTTAGCCGATATGTGGTGAGCTTTCTGGCGCACTATGGCTGCTGTTGCTTCATCCAGGTGGATGCTGGTGGTGGTGGTGGTGGAGGGGAGTCCCCATTATCTGTGAAGCACTTTGAGTGGAGCGTCCAGAAAAGCAAGGAATTATTTACATTTACATGTGTGAGTCCAGTCCATCCGGGACAAGGACTGGGAGGTCCTGGGCTAGATTTTCCCACTATTATCCCTGAGACACTTTACTTCATTCACTGTTCTACAACACCTACATGCAGATACAGGGGGAACTTCAAATCAAGAAGTCAATCTGGAAGAGAAGTGGGAAAGGGAAAGCAGGTAGAATTTCACTGCAATGAAGCCTACAGTAGATGAATAAAAATATGTGCTCAAATCTGCAGCAGGCCAGGAACGGAGACAAAATGGGCTACTTTTCACTGTGGCTCAGTTTTAAGTCTACATTCTGGGATTAGTACTTTTAATTCACAAATAAAGCAAACGGACATGAAAATTCGGATGCTTTGTACTGTGGCCAGCAGAGTTTTGCCAAGGTCTCGGAGAGTCAAAAAGTGTAGACCGCTCAGCATGTGCAGGTTTAAAAGTTTAAAGAAATGGACAAACTTTTGGTGTTAGCAGCTGAGGTTAGGGTAGGCTTGTGCAGTCCGGCTGGGGGTTAAGGCAAGGTCTTGGGTTCAAATTCAGGTTAGTAGTTACAGTGATGGTAAGCATTCTGGGGAAAGACTTATAACTTATGTACAATTTGCTCAGACATACTGTAGACAGTTCTTGATTTATAAGTCACAAGGTGCCACACTCAATATGAACCGGAGTGAGAAGGTGTATAAGGGGCAAAGGAGGTGTCTGAGTGCTTATCTCAGACGCACCACACTTTTTCTGCAGGTGTGTAACAATCAAGGCACTCTTTCTTTCACACTAAAGCCTCATCCAGCATTAACGAGATTTTAGGGACACATTGTACAATCTAACCACTCACCTGTCTCCTTATTTCTGAGGAAATGTGTTGTGGAAACTTCGAGCAGCTGCAGCACTCTAGTGTAAAACCTGTTCTCCATCAATCCCACTTTGTTTCTGGACAATCTGCACAGACAGTGTTTGCAGCACAGCACAGCATAAGGCTCCACTTGCTGTTCTATTTTGTTTTGTTTTTATTACACTTGAAGCCTGCTTTTAAGGTATTCACACATCATGAGTATGTTTAAGAAACTTTTAAGCTCTAACAGCACACGTTAAATTTCTCAGGTCACAGGGAAGTCCTGGAGAAGTTCTTAAAGGTCCCAGAGCACAGTTGAATTGAAAGCTCATCTCTGGCAAAAGAAATATTAAGTACAGGTTATCTGCAAATTTAGTGTTGATCCTGGCTACAGCTAAAAAAGGACAGGTTTACACCTCTGTGAAGATGGAGTATTGATCAAATTAAAAGTTCAATTCATCCTGCCACAACTACAGTAGATGAGCTGCCCTTGGTGTGCACATAGGGCTCGCAACAGATTCAATCTAAGAGGCCTGTAACAGAGTTAATCACACAGACGTCTCAAATCCCAGGGCACTGTCGCTTAGGAGAACAGAGGAACCTTCTGGCATTTTTAAACCAAGAATAAAAACATCTTCACCACCAAGCACACTGCTTACATTTCTAGAAATGAGACATGCTTTCCATTTACATATGATCTAGGTATTTCTAGTATGTGCTTAAATAACTTATGCAGCATGTCATACAGTACATGGATTTTTCAGGTGTTTTGTGGATTATTGCTGATTTATGAGCAATGACAAGAGTTCTGCATCAAGACTGAAGAATGTCTGTGTTGAGAGCACACTAGTTTCACAAAGCCCTTATAGCACTAAGGAGACTTCTAGAATGCATTACTTTCTACACTTTCCCAAAACAAGATTTCAAGATAGATCTAGGAGGTTCTATGGATATTACCACAGCTATCTCAGTTGTTCCGAAATTGAATGCTGAGCCTTCTAACTTTTTTTTTACCCAAAATGGATAATAAATTGGTATTCTTAGGCAGCACAGTGGAAGTGTGGGAAGCGCTTTGTCATCCCCTTCACTGACCTGCAGACGACTTAAAAACGAGGCGTTTACACCTGGGTTTGCGTTAGCAATAACAATTGACGACTCAATTACACCAGACTGTCAACAGGTATACACCGCTAACAGATCTCATCACTTCAGCTCCTATAGCGTATTGAGGACTCCTGACATTTCAATCCGACGGGTTTTTTTTTTAAATATACCACAAAAAAGATGTCAAAAACGAACAGTTTAAAACTCTGGAACTGAAGAAAGGAAGGAAGGAAGATGATGTAACATCACGTCTTTCGAACTGATCAAGTTCGAATCTGATGGCTAAAAGAAAGGACAGTAGATTTGCCAAACGCTATTTGCCTGACGACTACAAGGGAAGGAAATTAAAAATGTTGTTTAAATTCTACCTCCGTCATCACCTGTATACAGATAGATGTGGCCTAACTGAAAACAATTTCAGTACCTCCAGTTTTATTTTTTAGCTTATATACAATATTTCTCTATTACAGCCTATATAATATATATATATAATAACCACGTATATTATGGTTCGGTAAACACTGCCACTCTGCAATTCAGAAGTTAACCAAAATGTAGGACACAATCTCAATTCTGTTCTGTCAGGCTGTGCATTATTACGCCTTTACAGAAGGCAACTATTTTTACTTTGTATTATTTGAAAGGCATGATTTATTGATGCATCACTGGGCAGAAAAAAAAACACTCCATTGACCCCGACCATAAAAATATTTCCCATTACACTCAATCTTACGTCTGTGCAGAAAACCCCATTAGGTAAAACACCACACACTTTGTTGTTTTTATTATTTCGTTGAGAACATTTAAAAACGTGTGTTGATACGTCACTCTCATGTAAGCACGTTGATCCACATATAGATAATATAACCCGATATTGTAAAAAAAAAAACATTGTCAACAAAGATCTGAACGGACTGAAATGAGACGGTGAAATGACTTACCGGTGATTTAAAATCAGTAACCTTTTGTTGGAGCCCTTGTCCTCCTTTTTCTTGCAGCTCCTTCCATTAGCCTGATGCTGGCAGAATTATCAAAAACCGTCTCCAGGAAATACACAACAATGATCTTTAAAATATTATGGTATTACCCTACGTCCTGCCTAGGGCTACCTTCCCTTCTACCCTTATACAATATCAACGTGTAACTGCTTCTTTATATATCAACGTGTAACCGCTCAGAAGCGGACATTGGGCTTCTCTGACGTCACCACAAGCCAACCCCTCCACAACACGGTCGCTTCTTCGGCGACTCGTCTTAAAGGAGCCGCCAGGAGTTTTTGAAAGGGAGAAAACAAATTGTTTCAGGCGCTCCTGAACCCAGGTGTGGTGCCAGAAAATGAGGGGAAGAATGCAGTCACACCTGAAGTAGTCAGGCTTCTGTGATCATCTGGTTTCAAGTATGATTTACGTGTAGTAGTGTAGTTCCCTTGTGAGAATATGTATAGTGCAACCATTAATGAACTGGAGTCCTGTGAAAGTGTTTTACGGCGTCGCGTCCTTTTTAAGATATTACGGTAGCGTCACAGAAGTAGCTTTTGCCGTTTACTACAGCTAAGCATAAATATATTTCCAACACGCTGGTTTAAACTAAACAAATAAACGGCAATAAACTAAAATGTCTAATATTTCCCCCTAATTCAGTTTCTAATTCTGTACATGTATTCTCAATAAGACAATGAAGAAACATTAAAGATTTTCAATTTTAACAATTTTAGACACCCATTTAAAAATACTTAAAAAGTTATTTGTCACATTTCAGTAGAAATAAACCTTTAACAAAAACTACACACTACATATATATATATATTATACACAATATATACACACGTATAGTTACCAGTTTCGAGTTTGCCATGTACAATATACTGTACAACTACATTCAAGTACTGTACATTTCTGTAGATACTTTTTGGGATTGACAAAGAACCTCAGAGTATAAAATAACATTCAGTTCTATAACAATACAATTTAGTTACACGATTTAAATTCACAAATTTTGAAAAATAAAAAGATTTTCAAATTCAGGTGAGGAAATCTAATCGCTACGAGGTCATACCTTTTAAGATGTTTACGCTGTTAAGAAATCCGTGCAGTCCCCCAGAATACAGTTCAGTTACAGAGCAACAGAGACAGGACAGCCGGTGATGAGAAGACCTTCAACCCAAGGGACATCCAAAGGGCGATCAGTCATGCATGCTAGCAGTTAATTACTTGCATCACCCATTCATCCTGTCTCATTGTGCAACTATACTGACACTTTTCATTGACGGCTTAAATGAAGCACAACAGGTACTGTACTAAAACCTACAGGTATTAAAACACATTTGAAATGTATCAGCCAAGTAAACCCAAGATGCTTATATGTCAATACTTGAATGACAGGGTCATATCCTAGTGGTAAAGGCACTCAGAACAAAGCTCAAGCTCCACAGTCCAGACATTACCCGTCTAATTTTGCAACTATACTGACACTTTTCCTTGACGGTTTAAATGAAGCACAACACTTGTTTTCATTTCATGTGGAGGACATTAAATGTCTTCACTTGCTAGCTTTACGGTACAAAGGACCCCACTTCTGGATCATCCCAAGTTTCTACAACAGAGTATGGCCATCTGGTTCCTACACACACACCTCTGTGTCTAGCCATACGTATTTTCTGACAGTCTGTGCTCTTTGGTCCTATTTCTATGCGTTTGATGCAGCTCCTCTCAACGCCTATAAGAAATTTAATATCTGCTTCCTGAAAGCATGTCTCATACAGTTAAATTGCGCATATTGTAGCATTTGTTATGATTAAGAAAAACATGTAAAAAAAGTATATTCGATGGGCACTAAGGAATTTTTCATGATTCACTGCATGTGACATCAGATGCTCAAATGACAGTTCTCAGCACGCCATACCCTTCACCACAAAACTAAGAAGCATTGAAAATGATGACCAGGAATGATCAGCTTAGACTTGACCATCACAACACTCAGAATCATAGTGTTTAAGATGCTCATAGGAGCAGAGATGATTCTGCGGTAGAGAAAATACAGGAAAACACTTCTGAATCTTTTGTTCATCACCCCTTAGATTGAAAGTTTAGTTTGCAAAGAATTAAAATTCTTATCAACACAAGTAAACAAGAGAAAGATCAGTTCTTATTATACACTCGGAGGCAGCAATTATTAACAGCATTTTAGACAATACAGTTTTAAAATAAATTATTCAGCATGTTAAGAAAAGGTAATTTTGGAAAGAACAAAGAACAGGACATGGATTTCAGCAGATCCTAAGATTTATTTGTCTATAGAAATTTAAACGTTTAATTAACCATCTTTTTCCCTTTTCATGAAGTACCCGTTTTCTTTGCGTTCATTTTATTTTGTGAAATAAAATCTGTCCTGCAAGAGCCAAAAACTAGTACAACAGAATCATTCCCACTAGGATAACCTCCCTCTAAACCGTAGAGCCTGGGACTCTCAGCTCATCAAATCTTCCTGGCCTAAATCATTAATAGCTTTTATAAAATCAGCTTTTAGTGTAAAATACTAAACACTTATGGTTTGATGATATAATGATACACATCACGCACTGTGGTACTTGTTTTGGCAATATTAGAAAAGCAGCAAGAAAAAATATTGCGATATGGTTGTGAGATATGTTGAAACATCTTTTTTTCTGGACATCCTAGACAAAACAGTGTGCTTCAGGATATTCCACAGCCAACTATGATTATTGCCGTCAGGGATGTACTGTACACAAATAAAACTGCTTATGTAATTAAAGAATACCCTGAGCAGTAGGCAGATATTTGTCTTGTGGATTTCCACAAAGACATTTAAAAACCTCATTTTCATTGAAGCATTTTAACAGTACTTTATTTGGGATAAAAATTAGGAAAAAATGAAATGGAAATGTGAATTTGAATTTTCATAAAGCAAAGGTAACTTTCTAAAGGTAACTACTAAAACATGCACACTTTACGCTTTAGTAGCTTAGGCAATCATTATACCAACTATTTACATCTAAGAATGTATGTCAATGACAACAACAAATGTGTCACTCTTTGTAAAGTAAAAGCATAGCAATCATTTTTCTTCTATGATCAAACCAACTGGTTTAACCACTTATGATCTACACCTCCAAACTAAATACGTCTGCACACTGAAATGTAAACTATTTGCAGTTTTACTTACAGTACTCCTCCCTATTCTCCAGGATTTAACTTGAGGGCCTACCCTTACAGGTATTAAAACACATTTAAAATGTATCAGCCAAGTAAACCCAAGATGCTTATATGTAAATACTTGAATGGCAGGGTCATATCCTAGTGGTAAAGGCACTCAGAACAAAGCTCAAACTCCACAGTCCAGACATTACCAGCTTAGGCCTGGGATGCGTCATCCTCTGACAGGAACCAAGATCCCCCCAGCAGCAGAAGCAATAACTGGCCAAGCCAGGCACCTCTTCATTTCCACCCTTCATTTGTAGGGGCATTGCAGCAGCGAGATGAGCTGATTATTCACACTCCCACATAGAGAGACTACAAAATTGAAAAGCTCCAAACAATCAAAACCAAATTCAAATGGTTTGTGAACAATTAGAACCGGGCTTTCCACAGCCTTGCTAATGTAAGCCTTCTGAACTTGAATGGCACAGGCTGTTGAAGCTCCTCAGATGAAGAGATTACCACCTTTATTGCTGGTACATTGAGAGTGGTTTCATAGTCACTGTTACGACCCCAAGTGTCTAGGGGTAAAGAGGTATAACATATAGGATAATTTTTGGAAGCAGGTGGGTTCTGGTGAGAGACTAGGAAGCATGATAACAAGGGTGGGTGCAAAAGTGATGATTTTAAGTTGAATAAGTGACTGGTAAGACAAGATAACACAGGGGTAAGGAACTAGAGTGGTGCCACAGAAAAGAAAATAATAAACAAAATGGAGGTGGCTAGGAAAGTGAGGGGAAAGCTAACCTGACTACAAAAAAAAACCCAAAACACACGGTCTTCAACACCCTAGCTAACCTCCACTGACTACCCAAAACCATACAAGACAAACGGCACTCACCCGTACTAAACTAGTGTTACTAATACAAAATCAACTAAGTGTGTAGAATATACCCAACAACCTAAACTAACCTTATACACAAAAGTTCACACAAAAACACAAGTGGACTAGGAATACAAATAAGGGAAAATGAGAGTAATCAACAGGAACAGGGTACAAAAGAACACAAAGGTTGAACATGTAACACGTTAGGGCAAGGTAATGGCAAAACAAGGATAAACACAAACAAACGAAAGTACAATGAAACAAACAGAAACCAACAAACCAAAAAAGCCGAAGCTAAATCAAAAGCGAAACGAAGCGATAACCAAAGCAGGGAGGGACCGAAGTCAAACAAAAGGCCTCTCCCTTCTGAAAGCCCCCATGTTTTATACTGAATAAGACCCACACTACTTGGCTGAGAAGCTGATTGATGATGATGTCATACGGAAACAGTGGTGTAATGGTGGGCCAATGGGGGAGGGAGAACAATCCAAGTCAGCAGTGTGGAACATAACAACAAACACACATAGACCACACACTGGGATGTAACAGTCACACAGTGGTTTCACACAGCACACTGTAACAATAACGTGGAAACTCACAATAACACTGTATTAAGATGACAAAGATTTTAATGTATTATACATAGTAAATAAGAACTGTTACAAACAAGAGGAGGCCATTTGGTCCATCTAGCCCATTTGGTGGTAATATACTAATAATCTGGTATTTTTAGACTTCTTAAATGTACGTAGCAGCAATACTTTCCAGTGATTTCAACACCACAAAATATCTGCATATAAACTTGCATAATAATTCATTAATAACCTGTCCGCACAGCTTTAATGTTTTTTTACTGTTTTTATTAACCATCTATTAAATTTGTATAGAGTACTAAAATATTGATAACCACCACATAATTGGAATGCAATGCTGCTTGGAATTGGAATTTTACCAAATTAGTTGACATGATGGGTGACTGAGAATTGGTCGTCGAGAATGCCTGAAATATGGGCTTTATTCTATTGTGCCAACAAATCACTCAGGACATTTACTGCAGTAGTACTAATGCCAGTCTAGCTCTAAAATTGCTGTGAATATTTTGTTGCCATTTTTGACCAACTGAGACCACATAGAGATTCAGCCCCTTCATTTATATTTTTGTTATAAGGTTCTATCTCCCATGAAATCTGAACCACGTATTTTAATCAAAAACACAAATGAGAGCGCTCAACAGAGCTAGAAGTCAAAACAAGTAAAAACAGTGCTCCACCTACCCAGAAGATAAAACCAATAAAACAAAGATAAGTTATACAGATCTACTGTATAAACCAAAAGAAAACTTATGAACAAGACAAGGCCATCTGACCATTCTAACTTGTTCCTTGAAGCATACTCTAACAAAATAATGAACCCAATTGAATTAAGGATTCTGTAATCTCTTCAACAATGATTACATGCCTCAATCATAAGTAGTAAAAGGAAAAAAATACCACAATGTTTTTTTTTAAAGCAAGTTGCAACCCATGTTCCTGAAAGGCTGCAGTGTGCAATGGTTATTTCCAGTTGAAAACTTCCCTAATCGATTGTTTTATTAAGACTGTAAAAGAAGTGGCCCAGTCACAATACGTATCTCCATAATGTTTTCAAACCAGGAAGGGCTGCTGTTTAGTTAATCCAGTTAATTAGGTAATTAGACATACTGTTAACAGAGGAGTTTGGATAGGAAAAAAAGCCAGAGAACACTGCAGATCCTCAAGAACTGCAGTTTCTCAACCATATCTTAGAAGAACACCCATTCTACATCGAAAGAATTGGCATGTAGAAGTCTCTAGCATCTTAAAATAATGTTTTCTTCTTTTAAAAAGGACAATTCACAGGAAGAACAGCTTGTCTGAGAGCTGTTCCGATGGCTCAGCGTGGAGGTACTGTCCTGACAGGTATGCCAGTTTGTGAGCATATTTGCACGGTGCAGGGACTCTGATAGTTCCAGGCCAGTTCCAGTACATGTGGCACATCTTAAAAGTCAATCTGCCAAGAGAAAAAACACACCTGTAAGTGCCTACTGTGTGAAAAAGACTGCCCTATGATCAATATCATAGCTACCTCAGCTACTTCTGAGGATAGCGCTCCAAGTCATTCCAATTTGAATTAAAAAAAAACTTTTATGACTTTAAAAAATGTTTATTTTAGAATGTATTTACTTACCTTTGTAAATGGTCTGGGGTGAGATTGGCTGTATTGTACACAGAGACATAATGCGTTGGCAAACCGCAACCCTGACGAATATGATGAGCCAGTAAATAGAAATCAACCCTAAAAGATAGCACAATGAAAATCAAGCACAGCAAAA